AATGTGTATCACATGCCAGGCTATAATAATGAGAGACTTTTTTGAGACAGGGTCTCTCTGTAGGTCCCAAATGGCTTGGAAAGCTCTGTATAGACTAGACTGCCCTCAGTGTCACAGAGATCTGTCAGCCTCTGCCTTCCAAGTGCTGGAATTAAAGGCATGTGCCACCACCATACCAGCTGAGATTAAAAACATTTTTTAATTGAATTTTTGTGTATTTCATATAGACCATCTTAATCATCTCTATACCCCATTCCCCATTGGCCCCTCTCCCATAGCTCCCCCCCACTGGAATTCATCCATTCTGTCATTTGTGTTAAGGCCTATCATGTCAGCTTAGTGTCCTGAGATGTCCCTCAGTACAAGTTCATCCATTGAGGTCTAGTCAGCCTATTTAGAGTCCCTCTCTTTAAGATCAGCTCTTCCTCACTCAGCAGTAATCAGCTGCTAATAGCTCTTCGACTATTGGGGTCTGCTGCCCATTTCTATAGTTCTGTGCTGGATTTTTGTCTGCTTTTAGTTTAAGAGTTCTCCACACTGCTTCTATGGGCGTTGCATGAGTTTGCAATCCCGCCAGCAGTGAATGAGTGTACCCCTTTCTCCACATCCTCACCAGCATTTGGTATCATTTGTTCTCTTGATGTTAGCCAGTCTGACTGGGGTAAGATAAAAATCTTGAGGTGGTTTTAATTTGTATTTCCCTAATTACTAATGATGGTGAACACTTTCAAAGATTTTTTTTTAGCCACTTTTATTTCTTCTTTTGAGAAGTCTCTTGTTCAGATCTTTAGCCTATCTTCTAATTGGGTCATTTGTTTTCTTGATTCTTTGTTTTTGAGTTCTTTATGTATTCTGGATGTTAAACCTCTGACAGATGTGTTGCTGGAGAAGATTTTCATCCACTCTGTGGGTTTTCTCTTCATTTTCTTGGTGGTTTCTTTTGCTGTACAGAAGCTTTAGTTTATTGAGGTCCCACTTGTTGACTGTTGACCTTAATTCCTGAGCAACTGATATCTGATTTAGAAAGTCCTTTCCTACCTTTATATCTTGTAGGTTACTGTCAGTGTTTTCTTTTTTTGTTGTTGTTTTTGGTCTTTTTGAGACATGGTCTCCCTGTAACCCCAGCTGGCCTGGAACTCACTGTGTAGACTAGGTTGGCCTTGAACTCACAGAGATCCACCTGCCTCTTCCTCCTGAGTGCTGAGACTAAAGGCGTGTGCTACCACGCCTGGCCAATGTTTTCTTTTAACAGTTTCTGAGTTTCCAGTTTCACATTGAGGTCTTTGATCCATTTGGAGTTGAGTTGTGCAAGGTGATAGGGTCTAGTTTCATTCTTCTACAGGTGGAGATCTAGTTTTGCCAGCACCATTTGTTGAAGGTGCTGTCTTTCCTCCATCATGTAGTCTTAGCACCTTTGTCAAATAGCAGGTGCCTGAAATTGTATGTACTCAGGTTTGGATCTTCAATGATGTTCCATTGATCTGTGTGTCTATTTTTGTGCCAGCACCATGCTGTTTTTATGACTATAGCTCTGTAGTATAGTTTGTGATCTTGATTTCCCCCAGTGTTGCTCTTTTTGCTCCAAGTTACTTTGGCTATCCGTGGTCTTTAGTGTGTCCATATGAATTTAAGGACTTTTTTTTTTTCTAATTCTGTGAAATATGTCATGGGGATTTTAATTGGGATTGCATTGAATCTATGTATTGCTTTTGATAGGATGGTCCTTTTCACAATATTAATTTTTCTAATCCATGAGCATGGAAGGTCCTTCCATTTTCTGGTGTCTTCCTCAATCTTTTTCTTTATAGATTTAAAATTTTCGTTGTAGAGCTCTTTTAATGTCTTTGTTCAGGTTTGAGATATTTTATTTTATATATATATATATATATATATATATATATATATATTTTCTCTTTTTTTGTGTATATTG